AAATTGAGTGGTTAAGCAAGTTTCAGAAAAATCAGTGAATAGTGTTTTTACCGGGTAAAAATACTGCGGTACGATTGCACCGTAAAACATGCCGATTAAGTTTTGAGCTCTAGGTTTAAAATTTGAGTTATAAATGGTCTATAGAACTAGGAAATATGATTTCTGATAAAATTTGATGGAAGTAAGTTAGTTTGGGGAAGCGTGCCAACAGCGCACGCAACAGCTTAAAACAACATTTTCTCCGAACGACCGGAAAACTCAGGATTCATGTGATCAAGGGTGATTAAAGGACAATGGTTAATGTTAAAAATCAGAGTTTCCTTTATTTTTCCAAAATCCCCAAATTGCAAATGTGTTCTAAGACCTCTAATGTACCTAATAATTAATGGGTGGCACACACAAGGGCCAACAATGCCTTGGGGCACTTACAACCCAACACAGTTTATAGTTATTACACAATTCATATCATACTGCTCACTTGATTAATACTTAATACGTTTCAATCATCAAAGTCTATTTATATGCATTTTCTAAGCATTCACATAATCATAATCCTAAAATTGGCCTGAAGCCCTTCCATCATATTACATCAAGTATCCATGTACAATTACAACATATTACAACTTTCAATTTCATAACTTTAAATTACAACTTGAAACATGAACTTTAAATGACATATACAACCAGACTTAGGCAAAATGACATGAACAAATATGACTACGAATCTCCTCCTACATACATATGGAATGTTCATGCCCTATGTCTAGCCTAAGCCCAATGGCCACCAAAATGCAAAATATAAAAATGTCCTCCAACACTCATCCCACGGGCTTCTTGCCCGCTGCTCCTGTGCCACTGCTACCTCATGAAATAAAGCCCCCAAGAGAGGGTGAGATATACGAATATATCTCAGTAACCCAGAGGTTTTGGAGAAAACTCCGCCCAATGGCTCACTTCGATTCATATAAATAATATACAATAACATCTTGAAAAACGGGATATAGCAAGGGATTTAGAAAAGCTGGGGGAATATAAGGATACAAAATACGACGAAGCTGGAATGGTAGCTACCAATACCACGCAATGTCCTGCCTAATGGCTCGGCATATAAGCCTACGAGTCTCATCCAAGGCGTGTTCCAAGAACATCCAACCAAGGTACCCCCTCCCATCCACATACACCCGAGACTTCCTAGTGTGCTCCTATCTGGATCACACACCACGACCCTAACTCCCTCTCGAAGACCTATCCAGTGGAAGTCCGAAACGCCCGAAGGCAAAACTGTCTACTGGCCAGAGACTCGGTACCTACGTACCAACATACATACTACATGCATGATCATGTTATTCTACACTACTCATATACATTTCCTACCATCACCCTCAACGGGTATGGTGGAACACACAAGGGGATCAAGCCCCGGTACCAAGAGGTTACCTTAATAAGCCTCTTCACTTTGCTCCACAACAGTATATTCTCTGAGCTCGTTACTCACAGAAATGCCTACACAGAGGACATTCCCAATTACTTAAAACTCATACGAATAGATGCAATTACCAATTATACAGCATGATTTCAATCATTTACCTCAATCCCACTTGGTCCAGGACCAAGGCAATCCACCGACTCACGGTTTGGGGTTCAAACCAACGTACGACAACCTACAACAACCATGTACGAATCATCAGTACACGACAATTCTATCAGAACACGAAAAACGTCAAAAACCTCCCTTACACCCTTGTAGGTTCGACCTTTGAAGGCTTATTTTACAATTTATTTTTCTAAATTTTCTTTCTCATTTTATTAAGCATCCTTAGGATACCAAAAGGCCATACCAAGTGCCGTTTTTCATTTTACGTCTTTTGAACGTCGTTTTGCTTAATATCTCACTCTAGGATCCTTTATGACTCTCGACACCATCAATTATTTTTCATTGATTCTCTAACCTTCCAACCACCACACAACCCATCTAAATACCATTTAACACATGATACATCATCCAAGCAATACCAACAACATCAAATCCCTATAATTTCCTAAATGGCCGAATTGTCACCTATGCAATTCCAAAGGATTTTCATTCAATTTTAACCACTCCACACCTCATATAATCGCATTATCTCAATATACAATCATACAACAACTCACCAATCCAATCCTAACACATTTTCAAAACTCAAAGTCATGACAATCTAAAATTTTCTAAGTTAAAAATTCATAATTTTCATCAATAATCTTCATGGCATTTCTAGCTCTAACACATCATTCTAAGACATTATCTTCTAATACACATTTTCCAATTGAGCTCTCTAACATCACAAATCATCAATTTCCCCTTTAGGGTTCATAAACTGAATCCAAAGATTCAACCGTTAAAATGGTGAAGAAACTTACCCAAATGCTAGGCACAAGGCTCCTCCTAAACATACTCCACCATTGGAGCATTTAGAACCTCCATGAACACAAATCTTGCAACGTGAGTCGCGACCTAGGGGAGGGTTTTTCTCAAAATCCAATGGTTTTCAAGGCTCAAGAGTACTACCAATGAATTTAGAAGGTGAATTCCATTGAATTTCAACACAAAAATCAATGGATTTGGTTAGGATTTGGTGGAGTTAGAGAGAAAGGAAGAAAAGTGTGGTGTTTCCATGGGGGATGGGGGTTGGCCGCAGGTTTCAATGGGGAGGGGAGAGAGAATGATGATGAATAGTGACATGGTGTCACATGTGTCAAGTTACTTAAGTGAGGTGGGCCCCACCGCCACCTCACGCGATTTCAAATTCATTTGAATTTCTCTTCGATTTCACTAAACGTCCATAAATTCACAACCTATTTGGAAACTATAATTTTTAATATTAACCATTGTCCTTTAATCACCCTTGAACAGATGAAACCAGAGATTTTCGGTCGTTCGGAGAAAATGCTGTTTTAAGCTGTTGCGCACGCCGTTGGCACGCTTCCCCAAACTAACTTACTTCCATCAAATTTTTTCAGAAATCATATTTCCTAGTTCTATAGACCATTTATAACTCATATTTAAAAGAGTAAATACCCTTTTTAATCCTTGGCAATATCCACAAAGCCCTTTTCAGTCCCTAGAAATAATAAAGGGACAATTTGGTCCCTAAAATAACAAAAAAGATGCCACATTCATCCTCCCGTTAACTCCCACCTAACGGACCAACTAACGGTGCACAGTTGGCACGTTAGTTTGCTAACGCGGTTTGGATGTGGGACATCGTGGAAGACGAGACGACGATGTTTTGATCCCTGTCAAAACCACGAGGGCCGTTTTGGTCCATGTCAAAATGCACGAGGACGTTTTTAGTCCCTGATAAAAAGCACGGGGCCCTTATTAGTCCCTAACCAGAGAAAAATAGGCACATGACTTCATTGCTTTTCTCTGCAGTCCAATTTTGCAAAACAGAAGTGCATTACATCAGAAACAGGAGTGCAATCCGTTTGTTCATCACAAAGTAATTAAACTAAATTTCATCACTAAGTAAAATACTCCTTCTTGGCATTTTATTTCAATGAAGTTTGTGTTTCTAATTGAAGTTTCAGCCTTATTAACGATCATTCATTTATTTTTCAATGCTAATTAAGCTTTCCACTTTGTTAAAAGGGATTCTTGGCTCTTGCAAACAACTTTTACGATCCTAGATTACTATGAACTGCTTTAATTCTCTTAGTCTGTATAAGACATAGCGTTATGCGATTTACGAACAATATCTTCAGTAGTGTAGCATTACAATTATACTATTTATTTTTCTATAAAAAATAATTGCATGATTGTTGATATTTAAATACAGAGAAAAATCAGAGAAGAAGCCAGGTAAATGATTGTTGATAATTGCAATGCATGGCAGTTGACTGGACTGCATCAGTTGTTAGTTCTCAGCCACATGAAGGCAACTTGAGAGAAAGCAACCCACCTCCATCAAATCCACAACAGGCAAATGAGCTGTTGAGTAAGGAAACAATGAATGCAGCAATCAGTGGCACATGAAGCAGATTATTGGCGTTCATGAGCACACCTGGTTTTAGGCCACCAAGGCATGCCTCAAGAAAATGACCTGCTGCTGTATATGACCTGGGAGTAGTGCATGAGCCAACTAAGAAGGGTTTATTATTATGTGACTGACTTTTTTTGAAAATTCTGGCCATTATGTATTTGGAGGCCTTATTATGTCAATTTTTTTTTTTTTGTGAATTCTGGCCATATTGTATTAGAGGCCTTTCTTTTAATTCCTGGCAATTAGCTTTATTTTGTAATGCATTATTGTACATCCATGTCTTCAAATATAATGATACTCAAATCATGTTCCAGCTATTATGTTTCACAGGGTTGATGAATGTTTAAGTTTACTATTTTTTATGTTTTTTTAACTAATATACGTAGTTGTAGTTCTTGTACATCCATGTCTTCTGGTTTAACAAATTGGACTGTGTAACATCCCGCCTAATTAGGAAATTATATAACTTGCACTTAGGGATGTGGAACATGATTAAAATTTCGAAGTAAATTGAGTAGAGTGGGATTAATTTAAGTAGGAAAAAATTATTTTGTGGTTGTTAGTGTAAGTGAGCATATGTGAATATTTTAAGAGATTTATGACACTATTAAGAAGGGGTAGAATTACAATTAATTATAATATAAGTAGGAATTCTAATTACTACCTAGTGGAAACATGAATTAATAATTAATATGCATATATTTTATGTGACAAGTGAACCTTTCATGAATTAATAAATAATATGTACACATTTCATGTGATAAGTGAACTTAAGTAAATCACTCACAAAATCTGTATACTTGCCATGGATTGGTCAAAAGGTGGCCACATGGCAATTCCTATCCATCTTTAATCCACCAACACTTGCACCAATTAGAAGAGAGAACTTTTGTTGCATGAATGCCTATTGCCCATAGCATCCACATCACTACCCTAGCACCTATAAGGACCAAAAGCCATCTTATCCTTCTTATTTTTCCTTCCTTGCTGTAACCGTGAATCAGAAATTAGGACAATTTCTACTCTCCCTATGCGCTGATTGGTGATGCAATAAGCTAACCTTATCTTTATTTTTAAACTCAACCACATATCCTTCTTTCTAGTTTCCTCCATGCGCAAGGCAAAGACCATCTTTAGAAAAATAAATTGCTTCTCTTTGATTCAGCACACAAAACCGTATACAACATGCAAGCCTCTACCCTTCCCCTCTGGCTCAAACGACGCATAACTTGGAGGAGATGAAATGCCTCCTTCGATCTTTACTCATTCTTACCGGGACCGACCCAGAGTGAGGTCCACACTGTGTGCACTTGGTACATCTCTGTTTGTAAATCTTCCCCTACATGCAGCGGCAACTGACCCCCTTTTTGGAGCCTAGGAAGAGCATAGGTGATACTCAGGGTGTGGAGATTATTCCCTGCAAATACCTAGAGAGAAGTTTAGGTCACATGTGAGTAGAGGTAAACTGAACCTTAAGCCCTTTTAATTTCATCTATTCGGCCTGTATGGACATTAATAAGAAAGTGAAATTTTGTCATCCTCTTCCTTTCCTTGGTTCGGTTGGACCTGATCAAACGAGGACATGAGGTGCTCTTCTGTTCTGTATTCGATGGTAACCGTTTGATGTTGATGACGATCCCCTTTGCATGCATATTGGTAGATCGATTTCTCGCATAGGAGGAGGGGGAAGGTACTGTTTCACTTTTGGTTGATGCATTGGATATGTCCGGAACATTTTGGTACGTTTGAGGAGGTAAAAGATCAAACCTCTCACTTCTCTTTCATTCTCTGTTTCAGTTGCCACGTGTAGCCTAGGAAATTCTATGTTTTTAGCAATTGTCAGCAGGGAAACCGTAGCCTGTGGTGTGGTTGAGCACAAAGGAACGAAATTTGGGAGCTTGGAAATGGCTCCCTATAGAATTCATGAAAGATGAAACTGTCCTTGAATTAAAAAAAAATAAAAAATAAAAAAAAATAAAATAGCCCTTGCATGTGCTTAAGAATATGTAAACAGAAAGCTGTATGCCTCTCTAGTGCACTTTAGTTATTGTAAATCAGTTTATGTAAACGTATAGGGAATCATGAAATGAATTCTGATTTTGTAATACTTGTATTTAGGTGTGCAAATCTCGTAGGGAATGGACCTTGTTGTTTTTCTGCACTTGTAGATAAATGGTAAATAAAATTTAGATCGGAAAGTTAATAATTATTAGAAGCCTTGTTCATGCTTAAGAAACCGATTTAGGGGTAGGAAATAACTTTCCTTCATTTTGTTGAGCTTCACCTTAAAGTAGAAAGACTTATTAAGGATTACATGGGTTTAATGGTTGAAAATAACCTGCTCTTAGTTTCTTTAGCACACCTCAAACCGTGGAGTATATTACACGTAATAGATAAATTTGGAAGCACTTAGCAATCATGGAAACCGAATAATTATGGTGATTTGTTTACCTTGCGGTGTCTCAAAATATTTCATACTGTTTTTAAACCCTTTTAATTCTGGTATTTTATTTATAAAACTATTATGCTGTCAAATTCGGATTTTTGGGCTGAAATTTTAGGCATTTTGCCGAGTTCTATTTCCGGAGCTACGGAACTCCGATTGGGCTATATTTTATATGTATGTGTAGCCTCAGATGTGCACTTCCTTCGTAACAAACAAAATTTTTGTAAACTGTTAAGACCGATTTTATATAAATTTTGTAAGTCAGGCAGGTTTAAGAAGAAAGTTTCATTTTCGCAGCAATGATTGTATGCAGAATTTTAGTTGTTTAACCTATGGGTTCTGACTTAAGTTTTACACATAAAGTATTTTATGAAAACCTTTGCTGTACCTATGCGGGAACCGATTCAATTATTTTACACAAATATTTCACACAAATTATTTTAAATTAATGGCAGAAAATTCGCTTAGTATGTGGACTTGGAAACCGATCACAAATCAAGGATTAGGAGGATGGGACAACTGTGTAATATATAGAGAATAAAAGTAATAAATTCTGATTCCATGTATGTGTTTGTTTAGGTGCACAAGCTCTTAGATAATTGGACTGTTCGATGATGTTTGGAATGCTTGAGTTAAAAGTAAAAGTGCCAAGGTAAGTGTCTGGTGGCATTACCTTCTGTGACTGCTAGCTAGTGCATGGATTATGAATTGTTGCTCTCATGTTTTGGATTTGGATTCTGTATACGATATTCGTATTCTGTTCATGGATATAATATGCTGGATATTCTGTTGAGGAGAATAATTGTTATACAACATTCTGATATTGGAATCCATGAGATATATGTATCTTGATTATTATCTAGTCATGCATATACACCTCATAATGCATTTGTTTCTTTTGTGTGTGAAGCATATCATGGCATACATGCACAAATTTCATGCTACACATGGACTAGAATATTTATATAAATATGTATACGATTGAGCACGCATCATATAGGCATACCTCGGTACCAGGGCAGGGGACACTTGGCTTCCGTCCGCATAGGTTACAGTTGGAATCCTTCTGTTGGAGCCACCCAGGATTATCCACTGTATTTGTTAGTGTTACGTGCACAGTAGTGCTATGAACGTACACTTCTGGCATTATATACGTACTGTGATTATGATTCAGTGTTACGTGCACAGTAGTGCTATGAGCGAACACTTCTGGCGTTATATACGCACTATGAAAATGGTTAGTACTTGACGGATTTGAACTGATGATGTGACTGTTTTGTAATTCTGTATTTAGTTAGTACTGTTGCATTACTGGTTTTGTTGCCACACTACTGGGATTTTTCTCACCCCTTTGGGGCTTCTATTTTTACAAAATGGCAGGAGGACGGAAGAGCATTGGAAGACATGATAATATGGATATTTGTTGTTATGTGCTGCTGTATGGACTATTGCTATTGCTGTTTATTTGATGGATGACTGTATTAAATTGAGTAGTTTGGATTACTGTTGAATTATGGTTTTATTACTGTTTTAAGACTTTTGTGATCAGCAAGTATTTTGAAAACAAATTCCTGAAACATTTTGCGAAAATAATTTCTGAGATTTTTGAATGCTGATTTTCTAAACAGATTTAACGAGCACTTTACAAGTTATATTTAGTGGGGCTACAGACCTCCGATTTGCTTATATTTTATATGCACGCGAAGCCCCACGTGTCTATTTTCAGATTATGTAAAAGTTACAATGGAATTTTGAAAACTGGATTTTATACGAATTTTGCAAGACAGCAACGTCTGCCAGGAAAATAATAATTTCAGCAAGTTAAGAATTTTGAAAGTATACTCTGATTTTTGTAAGTAAACCGATTTCAACTATGTGTTTAAATTAGGAACGTCAAATTGATTTTTCAGTACATAAAATTGTGACGAACGAACTCTAATTCCGCTTAGCAAACAACTCTCTTGGATGCATACAAGGGAGGATGTTACAGACTGCATACGAATCCAATTTAATGTCATATTCCTGTTTTGCAAAATTTGATTGCACTCCTGTTTCTGATGTAATGCACTTCTGTTTTGCAAAATTGGACTGCATAGAAAAGCAATGAAGTCATGTGCCTATTTTCTCTGGTTAGGGACCAATAAGGGCCCCGTGCTTTTTGTCAGGGACTAAAAACGTCCTCGTGCATTTTGACAGGGACCAAAATGGCCCTCGTGGTTTTGACAGGGACCAAAACGTCGTCATCTCGTCTTCCACGGTATCCCACATCCAAGCCGCGTCAGCAAACTAACGTGCCAATTGTGCACCGTTAGTTGGGCCGTTAGGTGGGAGTTAACAGAAGGATGAACGTGGCTTCTTTTTTGTTATTTCAGGGACCAATTTGTCCCTTTTTTATTGCTAGGGACTGAAAAGGGCTTCGTGGATATTGTCAGGGACTAAAAAAGGTATTTACTCTATTTAAAACCTAGAGCTCAAAACTCAATCGGCACGTTTTACGGTGCAATCGTACCGCGATATTTTTACCCGGTAAAAACACTATTCACTGATTTTTCTGAAACTTTCCTAACCACTCAATTTTTCGTTCTGAATCCATTTCCAGGGTTACTTTTATCATCCGATACCTTCAACTAAATTTCTTTCCTAGGGTTGTGTGCATGGCTAATTTATCGTTTTGCCTTTTCTTTGTATTTTGGCCTTATATTCAGGATTTTCACTAATCTTTCTCTTTAATTCTCATTTAATATTTTAATATTTAAACTCAGGAATGCAAGGTGTTATAATCACCCCACCTTTTAGAATTTTGTCTGCAAAATTAAATCATACATGTCTGCTAACTCAGGATACATCCGGAGAATCTCATCCTCCCGTTCCCAAGTAGCCTCCTCAAGTGTACGTCCTTCCCATTGAATCTTTAACATTGGAATAATTTTACTTCTAAGCCTCTTTTCACTGCGGTCAAGGACCTCAATATGACCTACAGGAGTCTTTAAATTTTTTCTAATCTCAATGTCATCCGGTATTACCACATGTGATTCATCCGGAATATAGCGTCGCAGTTGCGATACATGGAAAACATCGTGCAAATTCGACAACTGAGGGGGCAAGGCAAGATGATAGGCCACTAATCCTACTCTTTTCATTATCTGATACGGCCCAACAAACCGAGGACTCAGCTTCCTCACGCCCAATGCACGTCCAACACCCGTAACTGGAGATAACCGCACAAATACATGATCACCTTCTTCAAATTCCAGCGATCTGTGTCTATTATCATAATAACTTTTCTGCCGATTCTGTGCCTGTTTAAGTTTTTCTCTGATCATTTCGATCTGTACTGTAGTTTCTTGCACAAAATCCGGCTCAAATCTCTCTTTATTACCTACCTCAGTCTAACAAGTAGGAATACGACATCTCCGTCCATACAATGCCTCATACGGTGCCATGCCCAGACTGGAGTGAAAACTGTTATTATAAGAAAATTCCACCAGTGATAAATACATGTCCCAAGCAGTGCCCTGCTCCAATGTGCAAGCTCTCAGCATATCCTCAAGTGTCTGTATGGTCCTCTCAGTCTGACCATCAGTCTGCGGATGATACGTAGTGCTCAGCCTGAGCTGAGTGCCAAAAGCCTGCTGCAAGGCTCCCCAAAAATGAGAAATAAATTTCGGGTCCTGATCACTAACAATGCTAACCGGTATCCCGTGGAGCCTTACAATCTCCTTTACATATAACTTTGCTAATTTCTCCGTAGAGAAGTCCACTCGCACTGGCAGAAAATGTGCAGACTTCGTAAGCCTGTCCACTATAACTCAAATTGAATCGTGACCAGCCTGAGTCCGAGGCAAACTAACAATGAAATCCATAGAGATGCTCTCCCATGTCCACTCTGGTATATCCAACGGCTGAAGTAAACCGTCAGGTTTTTGATGTTCTATCTTAACTTTCTGACAAATTAAGCACCTTGACACATACTCAGCAACATCCTTCTTCATCCCAGGCCACTAGAACTTAGTTTTCAGATCTTGATACATTTTTGTGGCACCTGGGTGGACAGCATACTGACCCTTATGGGCCTCAGTCATTACCTCCTCTGCTAACTCCTTGGGCACAACAATCCTGACCTGATACAATAATAACCCTTGTTCATTCAAAGATATCCCACTCTGCCCTTTCAAATACTTGACACTGTCGTTCCGTACCTGCGTTTCTTTAATTTTCTCATGTAATTCATTTTCCACCCGTAGACACTCAAATTCATCCATCCTGCCTACAAAGACATCCGTCAATTTCAAATCATGGAATTGTTCAATCACTTCATTACCCACAACATCATCTGGGACACATTAACAGACTTCCTACTCAAGGCATCAACCACCACATTAGCTTTACCGGATGATATTTCAATTCAAAATCATAATCCTTCAAGAATTCCACCCATCTCCGCTGTCTCATATTTAGCTCTTTCTGATCAAACAAATATTTCACTCTTGTGATCACTGAACACAACAAATTTCATCCCATACAGAAAATGCCTCCAGATTTTCAAGGCAAATCCAATAGCAGCAAGCTCCAAATCGTGCGTCGGATAATTCTCTTCATGAGGCTTCAATTGTCTAGAAGCATAAGCAACCACTCTCCTCTCTTGCATCAATACACACCCGAAACCTTTCTTGGAAGCATCACAGTATAATTCAAACTCACCTTCCGGATCGGGGAGGGTCAACACAGGAGCAGTAGTCAATTTCTCTTTAAGGTCCAGAAAACACCTCTCACATTCTTGGGTCCACACAAAAGGAGTATCCTTTCGTGTCAATCAGGTCAACGGCAGTACCATAGTGGAAATCCCCTCAATAAATCTTCGATAATATCCAGCAAGACCTAGAAAGCTCTGGATCTCAGTAACAGTCTTTGGTCGTTCCCAGTCAATTACCGCATCAATTTTATTCGGATCCACAGCAACACCCCTAGCAGAGATAACATGACCCAGAAATTGCACCTCAGATAACCAGAATTCACATTTAGACGGTTTCGCATACAACTTTTTATCATTTAATATCTGCAACACAGTCCTCAGATGCTCTGTATGCTCCTCCTCACTCTTAGAATAGATCAAAATGTCATCAATGAACATAATCACAAACTAGTCCAAATACGTTTTAAAGATGCGATTCATATAATCCATGGACACTGCCGGGGCATTAGTAAGCCCAAAAGGAATCATCTGATACTCGTAGTGTCCGTATCTAGAACGAAATGCCATTTTAGGCACATCCTCCAGTTTAATCTGAATCTGATGGTATCTGGACCGAAGATCAATCTTAGAAAATACACAGGCACCCGTCAACTGATCCAGTAAATCATCAATACGCGGCAATGGGTACCTATTCTTAACCGTAACCTTATTCAATTGTCGGTACTCAGTACACAGTCTCATGCTTCCATCCTTCTTTTTCACAAATATTACCGGTGCTCCCCACGGAGACACACTCGGTCTGATAAAATCCTTTGCAGACAGGTCCTCAATATGTTCCTTCAACTCAGCCAACTCCAGTGGCGACATCCGATATGGAGCCAAAGAAATAGGCCCCACACCAAGCAACAATTCAATCGAGAACTCAATCTCTCTCTCATGTGGAAATTCCGGTATCTCATCAGGGAATACATCCACAAACTCATCAACCACCGGAATAGTAGAAATCTCTATCTCCTTACCACCCATCAATCTACCCAAGAAAATATAACCCTGATCCCCAACCTTCAAGGCTTTAACAGCTTGACACATAGACAGAAAGGGAGATGTAGTAACCGAGGGCTTCTCGTGAGATAAAATCAACCTCTTGCCGCAACAATCAATCATTGCGCAGTTTTGATATAACCAATCCATGCCCAATATCAAATTAACAGAGGCCAGGGGCAAGATAATCAAGTCAATAGTGTAGCCCCTGCCTTCATAGATAAACCCCACCTCTTTACAAATAAAGGAGGAATCACTAACCTCTCTTGTAGCCGTAGTAATACGCATAGGGGAAATCATCCGTGATACTTTTAACCCCAACCCCTTAGCAACATATTCTGCCACAAACGAATGCGTAGCTCCCGAATCAAACAACACAGACAAATCAATATTTGAGATAAAAATTATACCTTTAACCAGATTAGGTGCCTTCTCTGTTTGCTGCACATTTGTAGTATAAACACGCCCGACCGTAGGAGCAGATGGCAAGGCCTGCAGATTTGCAGTCTGCTCAGTATTACTGTAACAATTGTTGGCATAATTCCCCACCTTACCACATTTAAAACAAGCATTTGGAGCCGCAGTACAAGGGCTCTGATGAAACCTTTTACATTTCTCACATCGAGGATTAGAATTTCTTTCATTAAACCCACTTCTCTAACCACCACCCCTCTTGAACTGACCCGGAGGGGCTGCCTTTCCTGCCACCCCCTACCTTTATTATTATTCTGATGGTAGCCACGTCTGTTATTATTACCAGAAGGACCAGATGTCCTCGCAGAGCTAGACTTCGGATATCTGTTATAAACACTTTCAACCCTTTTGCACTGGGTCACTAGATCAACAAAATTTCTCA